TCCGTTGATCCTGAACCACCTTTGAGATAGGCCTGCTTGTGCCTTTAGGCGAGAAAAAAAAGATAAGTTTTCAATTTATTAGGAAAGTGATAGTTCTCTTGCAGAGAGAGAGAGAGAGAGAGAGAGAGAGAGAGAGAGTTTTCCTGGGAGTTAGAGTCTCCAGACGAGTGTCTCTCAAGTGGAGAGATTTTCTTACTCGACCAATAGAGAAGTGATAGGATAAGGCAAGTAAGTTATCACGCTTCGGAAAGTTCCCTGCCATTCATTAAAAAAGGGACTACTCTGTTGAAGTCCTAAAGACATCCAGTGCCAATGCTGCGGAGAGTGCCTTTTTCCTTCCTTCTCTTATAACCGCGGTTTTAGGAAGAGGGACAATTAACATACACTTAGTTTCCAGTCATGGAGGGATAGTCTATCTAGTTGAAGTTTTAGTTCCAATAGTTTAGCTATCCTGTTAGAGGTCGTTTAATGGGAGTCGGGCTATGGGCTCTTCAAAAGATCTAGCTTTACTTGTCAGCTAATTAAATGAATTCCTTGCCAATCCTAGGGTCAGCTAGACAAGAAGCAAATGCTCAAATGCAGAATGAAAAGAAGCTTTAGCGAGCCAATTACATTGCCTTGACCTTAAGAAGAATTTGAAAGATTTGAAGGAGAGGAAGCATGGAACTTAATAGAAACCTTTGAGAACAAAAAAAAAATATTGAAATAGAAAGTTAAATAAAAAGAGGGGTGTCTCCAGTAGGAGGAAAAGGAGAATTTCTTGTCCCAAGTATCGCGCATAACCCACTTATGGAAGGGCTTCCCAATTTAAGATGTTTTCTTATTATAGGTATATAGCCTCTTTACTCATTATAAGAGAAGTCTTACCCGCACCAATCCTATGCGCTCGACATCTCTCCCCTTCCCCGTTCCGATTCCGCTGGTCAATTGCCTGACTCCCCTATGTTGTGGGATTCAAACCCCTCTTCCTTCAACAACCCTGCTTTTTTGGGATCTGAGTTGGTGGGATTTTTAATGGGCTTAGCATTCGTGAGGTTTCGAGGGGTTTTGAGGTTGGTTGGGGTGGTTCCGGTCGGCGTGATTGACTTTGGGCTGGGAGTGGTGTTTTGGTACGGTGCGGATGGTGGTGGCTGGAGTGGTGTGACTTAGGTGGTGCTCGTGGTGGTGGTGTAACACCCCTAATTTACTAAATAATAATAAACAATAAATAAAGGAAAAATAGACAAGCTTTAAATAAAATTGCGGAAACAAACACTTAGATCGGAGGTATCACCGCCACACTCGACAAACATGTCAATTGATAAGGCTTACAAAATCCCAATAATTATAACTCAATAAAACTAAGTGAGCTATTTATACAAATCTACAAACTCGTCATAGCATACTAAACGAAATACTTGAGTTCCTTTAGCAACGATCATCACTTGATTAACCTGCTTAAACAATCTTGACATCTCACCATTAAGGACAAATTCCAAAATAGATCCTCGTAGGGCCACCATAAGAAAAAGACATGGCCGCAAACACAAGTTGCACAACAAAAACAACACACGTCAGCAAAAGATGAGTGATCAACACATATTAGAATACAGAGTATAATAGAATAATCAACATTACTAGCTCAATTAAATAATGTAGTTTAAAACTACATTGCACATTGTACTCTGGAAGTAATTTTGTCAAACCCTACCCCGAATAAAAATACTATTCTTTACTCAAATCTCTATCTCATAAGTGTGCCATGATCTTTGCTCTATATCTAGCCTTGGACATGAGTAATTCGAATAACAAACCAACAAGTATAAAAACTTAAATACTCTCAATAACCAGAAAACACCTTGAACCAGACCACATATGGGTCAATTCCCACTGTAGGGGACCATAGAAAAATAATAATAAAGAAGTACTTCATTATTAACTCATGATCATTATCTCTTTAACAACATGCCAAGGACTAAGGTATATAACGCCGAGCCTCAAACCAAGAACAAAATAATCATTCTCAACCTTTTGATCTCATACTTAATCAATACCATTCGCAAATTAAAAACAATAATAGCACATGTTCCCATAAAATATAACAATTCGAACTCAATTCAATAATATTATATGTAAGACCCTGTATTTTTATACATATTTTATTTAGAATAAGTATTTTGTGGAGTATTTAAATAATTTGAAATGTTTAATTCATGACATTTTAATTATTTATTTTAAATTAGTTGGGAAATATTTTATAAAAGGAAAATTTATTTAATTAATTATTTTATTTAAGTTGGAATTTAATTTAGAAAAGTTTTATTTTAGTAAAGTTTTATTAGGAAAGGGATTAGGGAAGATTAAAAAAAATAAAAAGGGAAGTCTAGGTAAGGAGGGTTTCTAGAGAAAGGGGTATAAATATTCAACACTTGGGCGCAAAGTGGAGAAAACCCAAGGTAAACTTTCTCTCCCTTCTCCTTTATTTTTATTTTCTTTTTCTTTGTTTTTCCCCTTCCCCTTTTCGGCCTTCACCACCGCCGGCCACCATCAGCACCGCTGGCAGCAACAGCGGCGCCGCCAGCAGCCTGCTGTGGTGCCGTGGCTGCTGCCCGGATTTCCGGAAAAAAAATTAAATCTTTGTTTTAATTTTTGTTAAACCTTAGATCCAATTATTTAATATGGGTTTTGTGATTAATATTATGATGTTTGATTATGAGTAGTATGTGATTTAATTTTTCGATTTTAATTCTAATTAAAAAGTCCCAATTTTGAAACCCTAGATTCATAAATTATTTAGGAAAAATGGAAATAAATAATCTCTCCTTTGCGTGGTCTGACAAAAACAATCCCACCTTTTGATTATAACGAGACAATCCCACCTTGGTATGCCATCTTCTTTTAACAGGCCTTTTTACCTACAACTTGTTAGACATGTTAAAATGTTTTTATTTTTATTTTTTTGTAAAGCCATGTGTCTCTTAGTAATTAGTCAAAATAAAAAAAATTAAAAACAAAAACAAGTAAAACAAAATTAAAAAAAAAAGAAAAAACCCACAACCCTCCCCAAACAGAAAACCACCGTGAAAACCCCTTAACCCTAACCCTAGCCCCACCAAAAATCGATCGGCCGCCACCCTAAACCCTCGAAAACAGCCGACCAGAAACCCCTGGCCTAAATGCCACCTCCATAACCACCATATCCACCACAGAAATCACCCCCTACACTAATTCCCACCCCGAAACTACCATAACAACCACCGAAATCAATCCCTGAACCAAATCCCACCCAGAAACCTCCATAACTGCCAGTCCACCACCCATCACCCTAGAAAACCCACTTAGCCGTCAAAATTCCCATTGAAAACTTCCAAAATCACCATAATAATCAACGCCAAACTCCATCCTAGCCCGAAAATCCTACCAACCTCCTTAACTACACACAAAACCCCCATCTCAGCCTCGAAAACCCCCTTAGACACCCTAAAAACTCAACCTTGGTGCTGGCCGGCTGTGTTTGATGGCTAAGGAGAGCGGCTGGTCGGTTTTTGGTGGTGGCTGGGGGCCGGGTTAGGTTTTCATGGCGGGGGTTGGTGGTTGTTTTTTTTTTTTTTTTTTTAATTTTGTTTTGTATTTTGTATTTATTTTCTTTTTGCTTTTTTTATTATTTACAAAAATGAAATGAACCTATTAAAATCTGACAAGTGGCATGTAACCTACAAAAATAGGTCACCAACAAGTCAAGGTCTATTAAAAGAAGATGGCATACCAAGGTATGATTGTCTCGTAATAATTAAAAGGTGATATTGTTTAATTTTTGTCAGACCACGCAAAGGTGGGATTATTTATTCCCATTTTTCCAATTATTTATTATTGAAGGATTATGACTTAGGGTGGTTTAAACCTTTGATTTAAGTGTTTTAAAGCCTAATTACAGCAAGTGTTCATTAATTTATAATGCTGGAATTTTTGGTAGTATATTAAAAATCAAGTTTCTTTAAGGAATTTAAATTACCCATTAATTAGGATAAAATTGTGATGTTTTAAATAAAATTTCAGCTTATTTTAATTATATTATGAGTGTTTTAATGAGAGTATATATTGCTGAAAATTTAATTTCTGTAGAGAGGATTTTAATACTCTTTTATTATTTTAAATTGTAGGAGACTTCGAAGTGAGTGATTTCTATTAGTCGTGGCGATATTAAGATCGTATTCAAGGTACGTTCGCGTACTTAGCTTATTTTTGGTGATGTAATAGCATGCTAGATGTGATTAATTGATTACAAATAGTATCATACTAGATTTGGTATGGAAATTGTGATTTGGTTGATATTGGTAATTGAATTATAAAGCATGATTTATTTGTGATAGATTAATGATTGGAAAATAATAGTTTGGAATGTTGAATATGAACCACACTTTTATTTATGGCATGATAGAAAACATGTTTAATTAAACTAAATGTTTAATTTGGATTGGAATATTAAAAGGGAATTTTATTATGGTTCATATAATTTTTATTAATGCTATAAGCATGGGAAAAGAGCTATGTAAGTGTCTACGTACACGAGGAATAAATTGTATGTTGGTAGTGCACTTAGGGGGAGTTTGGTATCAAATTAGTAAATGTAAGGGAATGGAAACAAATTAGGAGGGGAAAGGGAAATATATAGTGTTACCCTTACTAATTGTTTGATATTACTAAGGAAACGTAAACAATTATAACCAATCTCTTTCCTCTTGTTTGGCATAGATAACTTAGAAACAAATATCTTTCCTTCTATTTTTGTTGCCTTGGCTAACTTTTGCTATACATTATACAATGTAGAGCAACACAAATCACCATAATACACACACACACACACACATATATATAGAATCGATTATCATAATATATCATATGCTAGGTATAGACAAAGTCACATAAATTGTTGATTACAAAAGCATTGAAATTCTAGTATTCTCAAATTTTTTTAAAAAAACGCATTTAAAAACCATTGAAACATTAACTCCAATAACAACTTTTTTTTTTTTTTTTTGAAAGGGAGCAAAAAGCTTAGCATTAACTAGAAGCAAAAGCATCCATGAGTACAAAGGGGGCGACAGTATCAAGGACATAATTTTCCCATATTTGTTCATGATCAAAGGGAATATATCTAGCAAGATGATGAGCTGCCATGTTTCCCTCACGCTTGACGTGTGACCATTTGAGGCTCTTGAAAGACACACCCTGCACCATTGCATCACACAAAACCGCATCCAACTCTGTAAGATATGTTGCACCCTTTGACAGCCAACAACAACTTGGCAGTTAGATTCAACAACCACATCCTCGCAACCGCAAGTGAAGCATCACAATTAATTTTATTGAACCACCAGGGGGAACCCAAAAATTTGGACTAGAACTTGGTGTGGAAGCAGGGGTTTTATAGATGGCCTTAGCATAATTATTGTTTTCCTCTACCCACCTCAAAACACAGCAAGCAGCAAATGGAAGGGGGTACTCTTGTTCTGATTGATAACCCCAACTTAAATTTCTACAATCTAGTTCTACTCAAGTCAAACTTTTGCTTTAAATTTTGCTAATATACATGTATGGTTACAATTCTAAATTTGACAATAGTGCTTGTATATGTATATACAGTCATTTGTATATGTAGTATAACTGCTAGCATAAATAAACGTATAACAGAAAAATGCATCAGAACAACCCACCTTTAATAGAAAAATGCAGTATCAGGGGAATAGCAGAAGGGGGGAGGGGCAGCAGCAGGGGAATAGCAGAAGCAGCAGCAGCAGAAAATCGTAATTTTCAAAGGGAAGTTCAACGACAAACATGTTACTACAACTAAATACCCAAGCACCAAACCAAAGACAAAAGAATGCGGTAAGGCATATGCTAACAAGAAATCAGAAACATGAACAAAAACTTCTTCGTACCAGGCAGCTCTATCAGCCTTCTGTTACCTAGCTGCTCGCTTCTATCTTCATGAATAAAATAGGCCTAAGGTTGATCACATCGTTAGCATTCAAAAAGCATGCCACTGCTTTTGGGATTAGTGTAGCAAAGAAAATAACAGGCACTCATATACTACAATACGTAGGCAAAGGTAAAAACAATCAATTCTTGGCATTATATTTTTATAAACAGAGACATATTACCATATATATTTCTACATAAATTTTCCAATATCATAGCCTATGTAGGATTTGAACCTACATCCTCCGTGCAAGAGCACAGTGCTCAACCCATTGAGCTAATAGGCTTTGAAGGAGTCAATTACATAGGGTGCTCCCACAAGAAAGCTCACATATTGGAAAAGACAAGATTGGCTCTTGTATTAATTTAACTCAAAATATGGCAATTTTCGAACTCTGAAATACTGTAATAGACATTGACACTTTGAAAGGACTTCACCTAACTTCTGGGTAAATTTCTTAACCAATGCAGTACAACCCTGCAAATCATGGACACCATAAGTCTATAATAACAATAGGTTGGTAAAAATTACTATTTCAAGTTTCAACACTATCCTGCCAAATGCCAACTAAGCCAAATAGCTTTACCTTTCATTTTCAAAGCCAATAAACTTCCAAATTAGATTTTTATAACCAAAGAAATACAAAACACATTACATGGACACCAAAAGAGGTATAATAGTATGTAGCTTTCAATTGTACTATAACCACCTAACCAGTAAGCTGGGACATACAGGTTTCAAAACAATAAAATAGTTGCACAGCTTGTGTTGATTATTGATAAGTAGTATAACCATTTGTGAAATTGATATCCCATATAATCACCAATCTTATCTTGATCTCCGTCATCTAAAACTAAATTTTTCTTCCACCCCTCAATCCCAACCATCCAAGATGTCACATAGTCCTCAATTACACTAAAAAAAATCACAACTTGTGTTAATTTTGAAAACATTGCATAACCAATTGCAAAATTGGAAATTTGGAACCCCATGTAATCGCCAATCAACTTGTAGCTCCAACAACATGCTACTTCTGTTATCAACACTTTTTCATTTCATATCTAGATAATTTGAAGGAGTAAATTGCAACAAATAAGTCAATTTAGCAAGCAAATAAGTCAATAATAGTCTTCTGCTAGTAGCAACCAAAATAAACCATCTCAAATCAAAATTCTAATGAACTTCCTAATAGTTGGGGAAAATTTATGGGGAAATAAGTCAATAATAGTCTTCTGCTAGACAAGGTGTTTTTAATATCGAGGGATATGATTTTTGGTCACTAAGCGTTTAAACTGTCTTTGACACCGAAGTAAATTTAAAAAGGTTTCAACATTAAATATTATGTGGTCGCTAATTATTCAATAATTAAATTAAAGTGTTTAATTGTTTGAATAATCATGATGTTTGATGTTATTATAATTTGAGAATCATCACCAAGTTTAATAAATTGTAAAGAATGTAAGGTGAAAGAGATTACGCACCAAAACTCTTGGAACGTATATACCTTAAGTATGAACATATGGGGGGAGTTATGCGACTTTATATTTAACCATAACTTCTACTAGGAGTACATGACGTTGTATTTTCCTTTTATTATTATGTGCAGAAATTTCAACTCTTATGAGTGGTTCTTTTATACTGGCACGGTTAGCTCCCGTGTTAGTACCCCTTTATTAGGGTAGGTTAGGGGGAAACCCGTTTGATGCGTAATCAAAACTTAATAAATTATTTAGTCACTTAGTTGTGAAGTTTGTTGTATGTTGTGTGCTTGAAAACAGGTGCAACAAGGTAAGTTGTGTGTTGATAGGTAAATGCATGTTAGTGTGATTAAATACGTTTATGTACTCAGCTTTGCTGATTGTGTGTTTATGTGTTTGTTGGCCTTGTCTTTACCTTGGCCCTATGATGACCCATTTTTAATGGAAAGTAGTGGAAACAAGTAGAGAGAAGTTTTTCAGGTAATGAAGCATATTCATGATGGGCATGAGTGAAGAGCAAATCATACTAGTTTTCATAAGTTTATGATGTGTTATTGCTTTTAATTATATTATTTTATTTCTGTTGCGAGACTAACGTAAAGTTTTAAATTGGATTGGTTTGGTTAAGGGTCTACAATGGCTCTAAGTTGTAGGTTTGACTTTATTTTACTTTAGTTTGACTTTACTATCGTGAGTTGACTTTTTAAGTTGAGTCGTTTTAAAATATTTTAAAGAAGAGTCTTCCGCTGTGTATCTTTGATAGTTTCCTTAGCCGTTTTAATTTCACAGTGGTGGTAATATCTTGGATTTTCCTACTTAAAGTTTTAAACAGGGCAAAACAGGTATTTTAAAAGAAAGGATTTTCTAGGGTGTTACATTATATCTCAATTCTTATAGGGCAATCAAACTAGTACCCAATATTAATCAATTCTCAACCCAATATTATACTCTTTTAGGGCAATCAAACTAGTACCCAAAATTAATCAATTCTCAACCCAATATTATGCTCCGCATTAGTAACCCTAAACCTCAAAACAATACTCCCTAGAACAACAATATTAAAAACCTTAGCATAGATAACATAATCAATTAATATAATGCAATAAGATAATACATCATTTAAATCATATATCACCATAAATTTATTCTACAAACATAATCATATGAATAATGAATTATAAAATAAATTTACATATATTATAACATAGTATAATCAATAAACAACTTATAATCAAACAATTCAAATAAATTAATACAATCACATTTGAATCTGGAAACAGAATACTCCTCAGGGTTAGGGTAATAATATCAAGATGTCCTAAGGGTAAGCCCAATAACTGTCCAAACATTCTTCAACTCCTCCTTGCTGTGCGAGGCCTTAGCCTGCAAAAGAAAGAAGGTTAACTGCCCCAGGGGTGTGACCCGGGAAAGCCCCTTTGATGCTTAAGTCAGCCAATGTATCTTCTAGAGAGAGAAAGTAGAGAGAGAGTACTTTAGAGAGAGAAAGAGAGAGAATTTGGAAAAAGTTACCATCATTAATTATTGGAGAGATATTTATATATGTACTTTCAGGTGGCAGAAGTTGTACTTAGTTGGAAAGATAAAGGGTAAAACCGTACTTTGCTCTTGACTAATGATGGGCTGGATCATAGAGGGGTATTTTTGTAATTCCAGGTAAATGGGCTTAGCACAATGAACTTGGCCTAAACATTTAACCCCACACATGATGTGGGAATGAGATCGCATGAATTTCGGAAATCACGCGGAATGAATATGAGAGAAGTTGTCACGTAAGCCGGAGCAGCTTTTGAGGTGTACCCGATGGCTAAAACGAGCCCCAGGTGTTCATAAGGGCTAAAAAGATCCCCAAGCGACTTGCAAGGGTGAAATCTAGCCCTAAGCAATGCATTATAAGTACTTTAATTGAAATGATTGAGCGGTTTTAAAAGTTTATCCAAGAGTTGAGCTGAATGATGAATGACGACTTGTAAACAACTGAGAGCTTTTCTTCTTTTTGAAATGTTTTTCAGGCTAAGCCCCATTGTAGACACCTAAAAATGTCTCCCTAAAATCAAACCCGATGATGAACAACCTTTCACCGCCATTATTGGTCGGGTTCAGTATTTAATCCCGAGAGTGCTTAAAAATCGTATTTAATTAAATTCAATTTTTGAATAATCCATGGATCAGTCTTGATGTTTAGTCAAAGCATAGTTCATTTTTATTTTCAGCCCAAACCTTTTTATTTTATTATTTTGGCCCAAACCTTTTATTTATTTTATTATTTATTTATTTTGGCCCAATTAATAATAATAAATCATAAATGGCCTGAAATTATCAATCGGCACTTAAAAATGCTGAACGAAAACAGGGTTAAAAATGAATTTAGACGGAAAAACGGACTATAGGCTCCCGCGTCACGGCAGCTGTCCACCGTGTCACGGGAACCAGTGCCGCGCTACGGTGGGATTACCTGTGACACGGTGCTCCTGCTGTGACACGGGGCAAATCCGTGTCCTTTCCGCGTCAACCCTTCATGCGTTTTATTCCCCGTACCCTAAATATTTCCTATGTCACACAGCTGTCCACCGTGTCACGGGAATTTGCCTCGTCTGATGGTGCCAGGCACCGTGTCACGGTGCCCTCTGTCGTGTCATGGTGTAATTTTTTAGGGTTTTTATCTTTTTAGGGTTCCGTGTGTTCCCTCAGCACATTTTTTCTATAAATACCCCCTCATTTCTGATGTACGGGGCGTCAATTAATTTCTCTTTTTCTCTCCTCTATGCTCTAACCTAAACACTGGCCTACCCTTTTTTCTCTTTCAAAATTCCCTCTTCAAGCTTTCTAAGGAGTCCATACTTTACTCGTGGTTCTGTCCTTAAACCAAGGCGTGAAAGGTAGAACTGTTTGAGGGTTTGGCCCCAAATCAACTCTATTTAATTTAATTTAATTTAATTATTGTTTTATTATTATGTTACTAACTCGTTTATTATTTTATAGTTGCAAGAAAACAAAATCAAAGTAAGAATTATGTTCCTTTTATTTCTATTATTTTTCTAATGATGTTATACTGTTGGATTTATTGTTAAATTGCTTCCAATATTAATGCTTATTTAATTGATCATTTTATGGCAAGTTTAAAGGGAATATGTAATTGAAAATCACGCCTAATAAGATAATTTGGACGACAGGTTTAGGTTCCTTTTTAATCTTGTTGTTTAATCAAGTGATCATAAATTTTATAAAATTATATGTTGCATTAATATTAAACCAATTTAGCCTAATAATAGTTTGGAGCGAATTGAATCTCTGTTTGTATGCCTTTGAGATCGCAGGAATGCTTTTCACTATAAGAATCGAGTAGAGGCCAATATGGGCAAATGTGACTCCAAGACTCACTTCGTACCATCATCCCCGATCCTCCTTTCGTGGTTCCGAACCCTTTGGAGTTAGTAATCTCATGGATTATGAATGGGGTGTAACCTTCATGGGTCAATCGTTGTTGCTTATCATTGTCTCTTAATCGTGGTTGCCTTTTTATGATCCGTGAACGGTATACAAGTTCCTTTAAAACTTGTTGGCGGCTCCCTACTTTGTTTTGTCCCTAATCGTTGTCCCTAATTGTAATGTTAATTCCCA